AGTGTTAGTCCCACTACAACCATCCACGACCAAACACTCTTTATGGGATCCTCTCTCACTATTGGTCTAATTCCTTTACTCATGGAGACAAGCAAACATGGCATAATGATGCATATATTAGAATTTCCCAATTCTAGTTGGGCACTGGTGCGTAACTAAGAAAGCAACGAGGCTTAGTCTAATTGACAATTGAGGGTGGGAAGATTAATTCCCATAAGTGTTAAATTAACAATTAATTTTTGCCGACAAAATTTTTTTTTGGTACGTGATAGAAAACATTTTAGATATAAGAAATTAGAACGGTAAATAAATTGAGCAGTAAATTTTTTAAAATTAACTTTACAATTTAATAAATTTTAAAATATGTTAAAGTCTAAGAAAATGTTGTACCATATGCACTTTCACTGCTGGAAAATACACATTTAGCGGCGTTTTAAAAACGCCGCTATAAGTGACATAAACGTCTCTAATTGTTTTTGCGACGTTTAATACCAAACGTCGAAGACGCTGCCGTCGCTATAACTTTATGACGTTTGAAAAACGTCGCTATATTAATATAGGCGGCGTTTTTAAAAACGCCGCCAAATGTCCTATCCTAATAGTATTGCGCTATCACTATGGATTTAGTGACGCTTTTAAAACGCCGTCATAGATTTTTTTAATTTTAAAAAATTCCAACCGTTAATATAATAGTGGCATTTTTAAAAACGCTGTGTTATCTTCTTTTTTTTTTTTGGGAAAATTATGCTAATTTTATGTGATTGAACTAAAAGAATACCTATAATAAAACTAAATAGCACTAATATCAAATAATAACTCCCATTCAAATAGCAAATGCAACATTAATTTATTTTCCCATTCAATTTAATAACAAATCACCATTACCCACAAAATAACATATACAAAAATTAAATTCACAATTTTCAATCAAAAAATTACTACTTTATATACAAAGTCACAAAATAACATTACCCTCTTTTCTCTCTTACCACTCCCCCATTTAACACAAAAAATAAGAAAGCGAACCAAAACACCCAACCCCCCAATCAAATTAGAGGGAAAAAAGAAAGAAATAAAAAAAGAAGGAAAAAAGAAGAGAAATAAAAATCTAAAGGAAAGCCCCATCCATCCTTCACCGTCATTCTGAATCGCTCTCCATGCTGCTTCCCATGGCCTTCAATCCTCTCGGTCTATGCCAATCATAAAACATAATAATTTTATCACAAAATTTCTTAATGTTAATTACGAAATGAGTAACCTTATAACAAATTGACGTAACAAAATGTCCAAAATTTGTGGTTAATATTTCAAAAGTTTGTAACTTAGTTACGATATTTTTTGTTACGCCAATTTGTGACAAAATTACGTATTTTATAGTTAATATTATGAAATTTTATACTAAAATTATACATTTTATGATTGAAATGTATATGATATATCCCAAAAAAGAAGCACACTATAAAAGAATTATAAAATTTAATTTATTTATTCAAATTCTTTTTATAATAAATATAAAATTATTTAATTTATTTAAATTTACCAAACCGAATAGATTCTATTAAAGGTCCGTTTGGGAAGGGTTTTTCCGGGTTTTTTTGACTATTTTAACCACAAAAGAGAAAATAGGCTATTTTAGCCACAAAAAACAAAACATTACATCAAACCCATAATCATTACACTATTCTCTCACAAAAAAAGTCAAAAAAGTCAAAAATTCAAAAAATCATTTCCAAACCAAATTTTTTAGCTTAGGCTAAAATAAATAAAAAAACCAAAAAACTAAAAAACCAACCCACTTCTCAAACGGAAGCTAAAGGTAATTGCCGCTCGCACAACTATACACGTCTCTTGTAAATCCAAGCTGGATTGTCATATGTCAACCAAAAAAAAAAAAAAATAATAATATAATTTTTACCCATACATACACTACACTGCTATACCTGCCCCCACCACACCATAAAACAATAACGATGAAGACCACTAAAACATTATTATTAATAGTGTGATAAGCAAAAAAAAATAAAATAAAGCACAAAATACATTTTATTAATAGTGTGATAAGCTAAAAAAAATAAAAATAAAGCACAAAATACATGTGAAGTGAATTCCTAATACAACACTAATTAGTGACCTCCATCATTTTTGCCATAAAAATATAAAACTACTAACTCCACATGAGACATATTTTTTTTTTTATATATAGCAACGACTGTCCTTGTTCACCGTCATTCCTAATTTCCTATGTAATTTACATGGCCTGCCTCTTCTTCCAAATTCAGCTCGTTCCAATCCCACCACGACCACGACCACGACCACGACTACCATCATGGCTAGCAATGACAACCACAACTCCTTCTCCAACACTTCACCATCCTCCTAATCGCTGCCTCAATCGGCCGCTATCGTCATCGTCCTCTACATTGCTTCAACGTTGTTGCTACAAACCGGAGAAACCCCCTGCCGCAACCGAACACTGGTTCTCCACAAGGAAGTATTCCGGGCCTCATACCGCCCACAAGTATGAAAAGGAAACGAAATTGGTCCGAGAAAATCGGACTTGTTGGTTTGCTTGAACGAGTACGAGAGGTGAAGAACTTCGTACGTTGCCTGGAGTGATGCATCTTTCCACTGGCTTGTATTGATATGTGGCTCTATGCCCATTCAACTTGTCCGGTTTGCCGAATGTGACGCGTCTCCGTTGAGTTTAAGTTTGTTTGGAGCTTGTTTGGATGGATAGACCTCTGAACAAGATTTTGCTTGGACCCGAATTTCGGTGTGCAATTAGGGGTTTGTGATAGTAATAATGATAGAGACTCCTTTTTAAAGAAATTCTACAACTCTTACAGTGATTCATACCATTATGATTTGGACTTTCATATCATGAGTAAATTTCACACATACATGAGTGGTATGAATATTTTAGGATTGTAGGATTTCAAAAAAAAGAAGGTCTTACTCAATTTTCCTTAGATAGTGGAAAAGGTTTGAACATATTGTTAGGCTCGCTTTTTTTTTTTTTTTTTTTTTGTTTTCAAAAAAATTAATATTCTAGTGAAGGTGTTATTAGGCCTTGTACAACTCTAATATAATAATTTAGAACAATTTATTTTGTTACAGGCAGGTAGATTGTTGATTAAAAAAATTAGATTGCTTTGATAATTATAATTATATATTTTATTAATATGTTTTTTTGTGTGTGTGTGTGTGAAAAATGGGCATAAAAGATAATTTTAAACATATACATCATTTTCTTAACAGAAAAATATAATAAAATATGAAGTGATTATCAAAACAATTTAACTTTTTTTCATAAATAATTTATATGCATAATCAAATAAAATAAATGGTTCAAATTATAAAATGAAACTCATGATAAACCTCATAAAGCCCAACTTCTCAAAAAAACAAAAACTTATCCCTTTTGGAAATAATTTTATTTGGTTATGACTTCAAGACTAATATACTAATATAATATACTAATAGTTGTATTATAGTGAGGGTGTAGCGAAGTGTTTGAGGGGGGAGGGGCTGGTCTGGTGAATCAGGATCCTCTCCTTGCAGCCTCCATCCTTGCGCCCATCTTTGCAGGCCTTCGGGTCTACTTTTAGACCCAATTTTGATAATCCAAACCGTTCATATTTTATGATTTATTCAGTATATCATACCTGTAAAAAATCAAATTGATCGGATATCAGAAAGTATGTGTTCGAAAAATTGAACTAAGTGATTATCAAAACAATCTAACTTTTTTTCATAAATAATTTATATGCATAATCAAATAAAATGAATGGTTCAAATTATAAAATGAAACTCATGATAAACTTCATAAAGCCCAACTTCTCAAAAAACAAAAACTTATCCCTTTTGGAAATAATTTTATTTGGTTATGACTTCAAGACTAATATACTAATATAATATACTAATAGTTGTATTATAGTGAGGGTGTAGCGAAGTGTTTGAGGGGGGAGGGGCTAATATGAACGGTTCGGATTATTAAAATTGAGCCTAAAAGTAGACCCGAAGACCTGTAAGGACGGGCGCAAGTACCAGGCTGCAAGGAGAGAACCTTGGCTCTGGTCTGGTGTGGTGTGGTGACGATGGGTGGTGGGGTTTAAATTTTAGGTTAAAATATATTTTCTATTTAAACAAGTGGACCATTACCCATCGTTGCTGTGATGACGTGAGTGAAATTATTGTTATAAATGATGATCACTCACAATTGTTGGAAAAGAGGTAGGCAATCAATGTTGACTTTGTGTTTGATTAGGAGATAGGATAGGAGATTTGAAAAGTGAAAGAAAAAAAATTGTGTGAAATTAGATAAAATATAAGTATATTTTGTTAATATTTTATTTATCTTTTTTCTTTTTCTTTCTAAGGGTGTTTTCGAAAAATGGTTAAAAGTTATTTTTTGACTTTTTAAAATTTTTTTGTGAGAGAGGGAAATAAGTTAAAAGCTGCGAAGTGATTTTTAACCAACTTTTCAAAATAGGCCTAAATCTCTTACCAAATCTTCCAATCAAACCTAACATGGCTGTGCTCTCTTTCAGGAATAATACAAACCAGATCTCAACGGGGTAGAGAGCTGGTAAGGGCGAAGCAACCCTTTTGCAGCAATTTAAAATATTTTTACTCTTCAATAAGAGACAATAATTGTTTTTTATAAAAATAAAGGTGTCATTTTCGTATATTGTCATAACATAAAAAAGTGATTTGGCACCCAATTGTTTGGTCAAAATTAGAACTGTGTAATTATTGAGTAATCCTAATCAATTGGATTAACTTAGGTTTCGTTTGGCATTGGTCTTTGAATTAAATTAATATAAAATAAGTTAAAAAGTTAATAAAATAAAATGTCATATCCAAATAATAATCATTTTATTTTTTCTTTCACAAAAGTTAAAAAAATTAAAAAAATAATCTAAACGAACTTTTTAACCAAAGCTAAAATAGTCAAAAAATCAAAAAATTAACTAAAAAAACCACATGCCAAATGACACCTACTTCTACATAATCTTATTTTGTTAGTTAATGTGTCAATCCTCACTTATGGCAAATATTGATTATGTAAATTATTTTTTGTGATGATTGTTGGGTTTGGTGACAGTTGATTTCTAATTATTGTTCTGATATTTGTAATAAGTATCCTATTGATGACCAAAAAAAAGAAGAAATTATTCAGTAATTTGGAGTACTATGTAGATAATACTAGTATACTACATAGTATTATGGGATATTTAATAAATTTCTATTAAAGCCACAAAAGCAATTAATAGATTAACTTTTTAAATTAAAAGAAGAAGAAAATATTATTATTGTGAAAATAAGAAAATGAAACTTAAACAAATTGAAATACAAAAAAATATATACAATCAATCGTAATGTTTAATTGAAATATAACTATTATTTTTTTGTATTGCTTTTTAGAAAAAAAAGGAAAACAACATAAATAAATATATATTTTTTGGGTGTTCTGGTTGGTCATTGGCTTCTGTAATTAAGAACGTAGAAAATATTTCAAAGTAGAAAAATCTATGTAGATTGACAATAAAATATATAATATAGATTTAAATTTAATATTGAAATACAAAAAAATATATACAATCAATCGTAATGTTTAATTGAAATATAACTACTTTTATTTTTTTGTATTGCTTTTTAGAAAAAAAAGGAAAACAACATAAATAAATATATATTTTTTGGGTGTTCTGGTTGGTCATTGGCTCCTGTAATTAAGAACGTAGAAAATATTTAAAAGTAGAAAAATCTATGTAGATTGACAATAAAATATATAATATAGATTTAAATTTAATACGGTGTTAACGGAAAAAAGAATGACAACATTAATAAAAAAAAACAGTTTTTTTTGGTGTGCCGTTTGGTCCATGGTTCTTATAATTAAGAGCCTTCAAAATATTTGAGAGCAAAAAAATTAATCTGCGTACATTATTAAAAATATGACTTTTTGCATTTATTTTTTTGCAACCGGTTATTTAACTGTCGCGAAAAAATTACTTTTTACATTACAATCTCATTTTACTTGACCCAATCATGGTCTTAACCCAAAAAAATAAAAAAAAATATAAAAAATAAATTTGTAAAACTTGACCTGTGTCCTTTTTTTCTTATTTCCCAAAGCTGAACTCTCTCTCACTCTCTCTCAAAATCTGTCTCGCTCGACTCTCTCTTTTGGATCTCTACTCTCTCTTGCTCGAATCTCACTGTCTCTCTCGCTCGACAGTGAAGACTTGAAGATTTGATCGATTCATAATCTTCTGTTGAAGAAGATTTGAAGATTTCAATATGCTGTTGATGAAGATTTTGATTGATTCATAATCGGTAAGCCTAAACACTTCTCTTTGTCTTTCTCTGTGACGTTTGACACATCTTCATCGCTCGAATCTTACTCTCTGTAATGTTTGACATATCTTCATCGATTAATCTGTAATGTGTAAATTGAAAAGGAATTACTCTCTGTAATGGTTGATTAATCTGTAATGTTGGAAGGTTGATTGAATAATAATAGAATAAATCTCTTTGTCTCTGAAGGTTGATTGAATAATATTAATAATGTTGGAAGGTTGTTCCCAGATTTCCAAGTTTTGAATCTGAAGCTGCTAGCCAATGATGACAAATCGTAAATTGACCGAAATGCAAGTTTTTAATATCTGTCGTGGTGTTGAAATTCTTGAACTAGGATGGTCTGAGGCCGAAGTATGACTAAGTATTATAATGTTAGTTGTGAAACAAATAGCTAGCTAGTAAAACTCAAAGGAGTTCTTATTTCCAAGTATGTACTGTTCTGCCATCAAAATCCATGGTGAAAAAAAGGAGGAACTTTCGAATCTTAGTGCTACGATTTCCAACCTATGGTGATAAAAAAATAAAATAAAATAAAATCAATTCGTATCTATATCGATGTGTTGAGTACTGTACCAGCTATAGTATTGTTTTTATTACTGGTACAATATGAATTGATACTGGTACTTTTCAAATACTGTTTCAGATTTATCAATGTATTATATATTTGTCAAAATATTATATTTGTTTATAAAATTTGATGAATAGACATTGTTTAGTTTATTGGACTGTCCTTTAAATGAATTCAATATTCCTAAGGTTGCAGTAAATTTAAAATTAAAAACTAATTTGCACCTTTGTCATTAAAGATGAAATCCACCTTGCATTTAAAAAATAAATAAAGTTAAAAGAGTTGGTGTATGTTTCCAAAAGTTCAAAACCCGTCTCTCTCCATTACCTGTTCAAAGACTCCAAAGCATCCCAATTTAGTTTTCAACAATGGCCAAGTACAGTTTCTACATGGATGGAGATAGAAGAGTTGTGGAGCAATGTCCAGTGGTTGAGATGGTTTTGCTCTAGTTTTTAAAGATGGAGAGATTGAGCAGCTGAAAAAGCCTTCCCAATCTGACAAATGAAATACCAACTGTGTAGTTAATTCACCTTCGTTCAAGTCTGAAATATTCTGCTTCTCATTTTTCTTTTTATTTGTAACCGTTAACACTCCCCGAGGTTGATATGGCAGGAGAAAAGGCAAAACTTTGCAGTATTCCTCAAATGGTCCGAGATAGGCCTGGAAATTTTTTAAAACAAAACTGATAGTATAGGGTTTATTTGATAAACTGGGTTGTACCTTCTGGTACAAAACGGTATTTACAACTTTGATCTGTATCCATTGCTTAATTTTCTGTTGAGAAAACCAGGCACAAGAACAGAAGATACAATGAGACTTGTACGTAGCTGATAGTCGAAGAGACTTTAAATTTTTTTCATTTCCTTTTTGTGGTATTTACTGCATTTTGTGTGATTATGAGTGGGCCTACTTTTAATTTCATAATCTAATGGTTCTTAACTATTTATGTTGTCTGTTATGATTCTTGATACGTTCCTTTCGGATAAATACAGGAGCCTTGTGTTGAATTCGACACCGTTGCAGACAAAAAGCAGCAGCATGAAGTCAATGTTGGTAAGATGCTCTGCATGCTTCGCCACCCTCTTCTCATCTTCTTCCTAAATAACCTTAACTAGCTTAAAAACCAGAAAAAGGATAAGGAAGACCTTGCAGCATCTTTGCTCAATTGCTTTAGCTGGGCATTGTTGGGGTTTAACCGACATATTTGTGATCTCACACAAACACTATGGGCCTGTTTGGTAACGTTTACGTTTTCAGTTTATATTTATAAAAATTTTATATACTGGTTTTTGTTTATTTTTTATTTATTTTTAGAAAAACATAAACTGCAAACGCGTTTGGTTTAGACAAAATGTTTAAAAAAATTTAAAAATATAAAAAAGAGTGAGAAATGGCAAGTGGTTGTGGGTGATGGGTGGTGACGAGTGGTGGCGGCGGAAGACGGTGCTGGAAAATGATGGTGGGTGGTGGTGGTGGTAGAAGACGGTGGTGGAAAATGGTGACAGGTGGTGGGTGATGGTGGCAGAAGACGATGGTGGAAAGTGGTGGCAAGTGGCGGGTGGGTGGGTGGTGGCAAGTGGTGGAAGACGGTGGTGGAAAGCGGTGACGAGTGGGCGGATGGTGGTGGCAGGTGGGTGGTGGATGGCGGGTGGTGATGGGTGGGTGGTAGTGGCAGGTAGGTGGCGGGTGGTGGTGGTGGGTGGGTAAGTGGGTGATGGTGGCTGGTGGTGGGTGGTGGTGACAGGTGGGTGATGGGTGATGGTGGTGGTGGTGGTGGCAGGTGGGTGGCAGATGGCTGGTGGTGGTAGGTGGCTAGTGGTAGATGGTGGTGGTAGGTAGGTGGTGAGTGGTGGTGGCAAGTAGGTGGCGGGTGGTGGTGGCAAACGGTGGATGGTAGTGGTGGGTGGTGGGTGGTGGTGGTAGTGGCGAGTGGTGAGTGGTGGTATCGAGTGGGTGGCAGGTGGGTGGTGGGTGGTGGTTGGTGGGTAGGTGGTGGCTGGTGGTGGCTAGTGGGTGGTGAGTGGTGGTGGCAGGTGGTAGTGGGGGTGGGTGGTGGGGGCAGAAGACGGTGGTGGAAAATGGTGGCGGGTGGTGGCTACTGTTGGGTGGTAAAAAAAAAAAACGGTGGAAAATGGTGGTGGGCGGTGGCTAGTGTTGGGTGATAAAAAAAAAAAAACTGAAAACTCAAAACGGAAACACATTTTTTGGCCAAATTTATAAACTGAGACTACTGATTTATAAATAAAAATTTTACCAAACAAGTTTTTATTTGAGTTTTTTTTTAATTTTTATAAATATAAACTAAAAACTGAAAACATAAGTGTTACCAAACGGCACCTATATTTTAGTTTGTTTTTATATGCCAATAATTGTTTAGCTATGGCTATATACCATTGACTACCCAAATAATGTATAATAGAAGGGGTACATATGTGATATGCTGAATGATAATTGGATTTGGATCGACCTCTATGATACAATAAGACAATGTAACAAGAAACCAAAAAACTTTCTAGTCCAATAAATTCAATCTTAAATGTGCTTTCAAATGGTTTGTCTTTACAACTTTTGTATTGCTTGAAATTGTTTCTATATAAAGTCTTGATGGTTATATGGGTTTGTTTTTATGATTGTCTTCATGTTTGGTGTAGACTGAAGAGGAAACTGAAGAGTTGACCAACCAGGTTCATTTTTTAAAACACTTGTCCAATATATATATATATTGATTGCTATAATGGATATTGAAGTCTTATTCTCTCTTTCTTTGCTTTTGAAAATTTACGAACAGATGATCCTCCTGGAATCACAAAATCCGAGAGCGCGAGTCGACTCTCAGAGGTATCATCTATGCTCTCTCCTTGCCATTACACAATTTTCAATAATTACATCTACAATTGCTTGCTCTTTCATGACGAATTTTCTTGTATTTATTTTCTTGTTGCTCTGTCCCTTCGTGGAATGATCTGCTAACTGCAGTGGGGATATGCTGAACCAATGCTCCAGCAGAGGGGATATTGCTGAATTGTCTTCAAAGGGTGTGCTATGTTGTTTTTGGTGATTGTAGTCTTGTGGTTGCTGCTGTTTGCGTGTTTTTGTTTTTGCTCTGCATGTTGGTTACTCACCAACTTGGAGTTTGGAGTTGGTGCTAGCAGATGATTTGGTAGGCATCTAGGTGCCAACCTAGTTGGCATCTGGATGTTTCACTGTGATGCTTTTTGTACTCTCCTCTTTATTGATGTACATTATCATACTCTGATGTTTTTCCATTAACAAAGCTTCTTTTTTTGCTGATAAAAAAAAGAAAAAAAAACCTACGAGCAGTCTCTTCTGGATTTTGATTCTTGATTTGATTCAATTCAGGATTCACACAATTAGGATTTTGATGCATGATACGATCCTTGAATTGACAACTATAATATAATACAACAGGGACTATTGATGCACTCTTGGAAGCAAGAATACCTGGGATTAATGTTATCATTGGAATGTGGGCTATCTAGGTTATTTTTTTGTTCTCTGATTATCATGTTTCCTATCTTCCACTGGTCTTAATTTTTTGTGCTTTGAATCACGTGGGAGAAAGGCAAGGGGAGTCATGCAATTCTATTTGCAAGTCAAATGGGCAGTCATGTGTACCAAACAAACTGTCAATGCTTAATCAATATGAAATGTGATCTTTATCTTTCATGCATTTTTCTGCATTAGTTTTTTATTTAGTTATGAATATGCTGATTTTATAGCTGACCATGCTTATTATTCTTTATGATGGGGGTGGGTGTTATCAAATGCTTTGAAAGAACCTTCCTATTTCTTTAATTGATCTAAAATTTCAATTATTTTCTTAATGGATGAAATCCCTTGGAATAAATGTATCCTTATATAGGGTGTGGACAATAGAAGATTCATTCGTGAACAATGATGAACATATATTATCAATGTAACTTATATTGAGAACTTTTATGTCCATTCCCACGCCTGCTGCTTTTTCCTACAGTGTTGTTTCTTTGACATGTTTGCAAAGTTTATTATTATTGTTGTTTTTGTTATCTTTATATGTTATTCTTGTTGCAAAGTTTATTATTATTATTATTGTTGTTTTTGTTTTTGTTTCTGTTATCTTTATATGTTCTTCTTGTTATCTTTATATCTTTAAAACAGGAAAGTGTAGAAGAAGTGTTAATGTCGTCAAACTTCCATGAGGCAGTTGAAAAACTTCCGTCCTTAATTCTTGCCTAATATGCAGTCAAACTTAGTTGAGAATGAAAATGAATAAAGATAAGACAAATAGGCATTCTTATCAGTCTTTACTGTTGCATACTTTTTGATGAGTTTGGAAATCACTTTTTTGTTCATAGCTTAACATTTTCTCTCTATTTTGCTGATAATGCTAGTGTTGCTTTGTATGCTTGGGCTTGTGAATTTTGACTATTTTGCGAAAATGATGAACTTGCTCTGAACTTGCTTGATTTCAGTTTTGAATTCAAATTATTATTATTATTATTATTTTCTGTCATGTTAGATTGGAGCATTTTAGCTTATAGTCGTATTTTGGTGAATTTCAGATGTGCTTGGTAGAAGACTATAGAATTTGATCTAAGCATTAGTTTTTCTGTGCTGCGAAAATGATGAAGGTGTATTTTCTATATCCAAATTTCTGTCATCTCTTATGTAATTTGTGAAAGAACAGATTCTACTGATAGAAAACCAGGAAGCAGAGAAGAATAAGAAAGATAGAAAAATGAAGAACTAGATTTTATTATTAATTTCTTGAGAGAGAAAACAATAAAGGACTTTGGTAGCAACTCTGTTACGGGGCCGGTTACAGCTGAGAGCTATGCAAATAATAAAGGACTTTGTGGGCGTCTTTTGAAGCGCTGCAAGGCTCCTGATGCTTACGATCATGCTTTCTACTTAAATGGTTTCACGGTTGGTTGTTCGATTTCTACTGTTGTAGTTTTTGCTTTGACTTTGTTTTATTTGCCCATTGATCTACTATTAAAGAAGATTATGAGTAGCAAGATGAAGAAAAGAAACGAAGAGGTGGTTCAACAAAGCCAATGGCGCCCAACTGCAATGAATAGAGTTGAGGATACCAAGGTTGAACATCTCTCTCTCTCTCTCTCTCTCTCTCTCTCTCTCCCACTCTCTCATATACATTTTGCCTCTTTTCCTTCCTCCATGTTCAGTTGTTCCTTGTTTGTTGTCAATTATCCCTCTTATTAGAATTTTTTCTCTTTCTCATTTTCAAGTGGTGTAAGAAAAGAAAATGCAATTACAACATACCAAAGCTGCTATATCTTATGTTCTTAATTATAATTTGAATAGGTATAATATATAACCTCATATTATGGTAACAAACAATGTTTGTCTATAACAAACAGTGTTTGTCTATAACATATTGTTTTATAAACAGAGTGATAGTATCTTCTTCTAGACTCAATTTCAAAAACTTGGATTAATATATTTTTACTGTTTGCATATCCAAATTAGAGTCTCGGTTCTTTCTTTATAGACTCATTTTCAGACTAATCAGCCAATTACTTTTTGTTTTCCCTTCTATAATTTAGTTCACAGATTTCTAAATTGGAGAAGTTGGTTACTAGAATAAGCTCCACAGAACTCGTGAATGCTACTGACAATTGTAGCAAAGACAACATCATCGAGTTTTGATAGACAGGGACAATGTACAAGGCAGTTTTCCCCGAATGGTTCGTTCCTTGTCATCAAGAGGTTATTCGACTCACAATTCTCTAAAGGACACTTTATGTCCGAGGTAATGATTCTAGGTAGATTGAGACACATTAATTTGGTACCTTTGTTTGGTTTCTGTTATGAAAGAAAGGAAAAACTGTCGGTTCTGCAAATTCTGATGACAATTTGGTTGAATGGATCATCAATCTTGTAAATACCTCTTTTAGTTTGCAAGATGTAGTTGATGACTCTCTGATCAGGTTGGGATTCAATGGTGAGATCTTTGAGTTCATGAATATTGCATGCAAATGCATTCAGTTGGTGCTAGAGCAGAGGCCAACAATGCTGGAAGTGTACCAAACAATGAAGGCCACTGGGGAGAAACACGACCTTGTGGACGATTCTGAGATGTGGAAAGAAGCAAAAATTGCTACTGCCAGTGCTAGTGAGGGAGATGTTGAAATGATAGGGTAGACGAAATAGGCTGGACAAGCCAAATTCGATGGGAAACATTGTGTGATTTACTTAATTTTTAATGCAATATTATCATCATTATTAGAAGCACAACTTATAATAAGTTGCTGGAGCTTGTGACATGTATAGAAATTTATATTTTGAATGCACATTTATTTTTTATTTTTTGAAGAAAGATAATTTTGTTGAGGGAAGTGATGGAAAATAATACATGAGTATTAGAATTTTTGCAAATATAACTTTACATTTATTATATATAATATTTGATATTTGAATATATATATATATATATATATGTATATATGAGAATATAGATTGTTAAAACATTGTAGGCTTTTTTTTTTTTTTCAATTTTTTTTTTGGGACGGTAACAAGATAGTTGCTAATACATTGTAGGCATTTTTAAATTTTTTTTGCAACGGCAAAACATTAGTCGCCATAAGTAGATTAAGCGGTCGCAAATAGTTTGCAACTGCTGTTTTGCGGTCGCAAAAAGTATTTGTCACTCCCACATTTATGACCATCATTTGCCGTCGCATGGGCCGTCGCAAAAGGTTTTTTGCGACTGTTTTTTCATTATTTGTGACGGATTGTAGTGATCGCAAAAAATACGTTTTTTAGTAGTGTTAGAAACTAAAATAAATAATATAAATTCAAATTTAATGTGATGTCAACTACTCTTAAAATCTCATCAAACATATTACATATTTAAATTATTTTTTTAAGTACATGTTTTTTTAGAGCTTGCAGTTGGGCTCAAATGTGACCCATACACGAGCCAAGTAACAGACGAACAAAAACAACAAATCCATAGAAAAATAGCAAGAAAGTACCATGTATATTTAAACTTTTTTTTTTAATTCAACTGAAAAGTAAGAAACATAAGAAAATAAAGAGTTTAGAGCATCGGTACAATAAATTGGAGGGTTAATCCCTTTCCATACTGACCTCAGTCATATCATCTATGACCAAGGCTCTCACTTCTTCGGCGGTTGAGTATCACTAAATGTTCATCTTCACCCACCTCCATGTTGGCTAAATTGTTTGCAACTCAGTTTCCTTCTCTTAGAGTATGTCCAATTGAGCAGTTGCATCTTTTCATTAGAAATTTTGTATCCTCAATGAGGCCTTGTAAGAAGAATTATGGCTTGGTTCATTTTGAATTAGCTTGATGGCCTGTGTAGCATCCGTTTCTATCTCCACATCCATTTTTCTTTTTTGAAAGAGAATTGTGAGCCCCGTGTAGATGGCCCATGGTTTCCACACTTGAACAATGTCCCAACTTGCCGTAATATCCCCATATCCATGTGCCAGCTTCATTCCTCAGGAGTCTTCCATACCTAGCTTGTCCAGGGTCTCCTTTTGAACAACCATCAGTGTTCAACTTGAGCTTACCTACAGCAGGAGAACACTATTTAATTAGTATAGGTGAAGATGGATTAGGCTGGAGAAGGGATTGGAATGCCTCATCAATCTCATGAACATAATTTTAATGATTTTGAGACTAGCTTGAATGGGGGTGTCAATATTTTCAAAAACAATTTGATTTCGATCTTTCCAAATTTGCCAGAGGGTGGCAATGAAGAAAAGACACCATTTTTTTTTTCAAGAAACATTTTTATTTTTCATGTTAGAGACCACCCATTCACGAAGAGGCAGCCTATAACCCTTTTTCCACTATTTGTGATTTTTAATTTCAATCCAGATATCTTTTGCTTTGGTACATTCTCTAAGGAGACGGCTCATATCTTCACTGGATAGTCCACATCTAGGGCAAAGGTCAATAGTTTCTGTATTCCTCATCAGCCTTATTTGGTTGGTTAGCAATCTATCCTTCAAAATAAGCCACATAAAACCTTTAAGCTTTTGGGGGGTTTTAACCTTCCAAATCCACTTCTAGTCTCTTTTATCCATTTCATGATTAATAATGAGTTTATAGGCTGAAGTTGTAGAAAAGTTACCCCCAGAGGATCCTATCCAAGTGGGAGCATCAGTATAAGTCACAAAGCTGGGTCTATGCACCTTCAGAATTTCTTGGAGGTCTTGTTGGCTAACAATGTTAGCTATGACTTCAATGTTCTAGTGCCCTTTATTATCCAAGAATAAACTAACCTTATCTTCATCATTAACTTGTGATGTGCCATAGGTTTGGTCTAGAGGTTCTTGGCCACACCACCAGTCACGCCATAGAGATATGGTTTCCCCATTTCCCACATTCCATTTGACACCATTTCTTAGGATGTCCCTTTTCTTGCATATACTTGTGTGAGATGCTCTCTTTTTCAGAGGCCAACTGTATAGGGTATTCTTCTTCAGGTACTTGGCCTTGAGCACCTTACACCAGAGTTTATCATTATCACTCAAAATTCTCTATCCAAGTTTAGTAAGAAGAGTAGCATTATGATCCCTGGCTTTTCTAATGCCAAGTCCACCATCTTCCTTAGTTTTGCACACATTTTCCCAACTGACTAGGTGCACTTTCCTGTTGTTGTCAGTCTCACCCCACAAAAAGTTCCTGTTAATTCTGTTGATCTCATCACATAGATTCCTAGGAAGCTCCATGGTTTGCATGTTATACCTGGGCATGACAGAGGTAACAGATTGTATGGGTGGTTTTACCAGCTAAAGAAAGATTTCTTGCCTTCCATCCTGAGAGTTTGGTTCTAAGTTTCTCAAGGATCTCATTGAACATGTTCTTGTTCACCCTTTTATGGAGAAGAGGGGATCCTAAATATTTACTAAGATCGTGGGTGAGGGGTATGCCACTTTGAAAGCTTAAGGCTTTAGCTTGGCTACTGTAGACATCCCATTTTTGATCGTCCTCAAGACTTGGACGTCATCATTTGAACACTTGGTGATCATCCATGTTTGTGTTCGTTTTGAGTTCCCGGAGGTTTTGGCTACGCGCCTTGCCTGTTTTGTGTTTGGTTTTGCACCAGACACTTGTTGTCTCTGCACCTGAGGGCAAGGAATGGCTTGTTGGCCATCCCCACACCTCACCGGTCATGGCTTGAGGCCACCGGCCATGTTTTGTTGCCATCAGCCAAATGTTTGGCCGGTCGGCATTCTTTTTGGTTGGCCGACCATTGTTTTGGTCAATTTGTCATTTTTGGTTGGCTGGCTGAGCACTGTTCATCTGCTTTTGGCAGATATTTTATGCTAGCTGTGATAGCTGGCATCTACTTTGCACCCCCTCCATACACATGTATGGAGGGATTTCCCTGTTGCTTAGCTTGTTTTGTAAGCTTTGCAAGAGTGAATCTCTATAAAGGGAGGGCTTCTCCTCCCTCCTGAAGGGTTCCAAAAAAAGTTCCAGAGTTCTGAGATTAGGGTTAGAGGATTGTGTATCTATTCTATCTCTATATCTCATTCTCCTTCCATTTTGTGTGTGTTTAAGGTGTTTTTGTTCATAGTTTTGCATACAAACACCTAGTGCTACACTTTCCTTTAGCTACTGAGGTACTAAGGAGTTATTTTCAGAGTTCTTGAGTTGATCTAAGCTTGGAGAGGCTGCTAGAGCATTGTTCTTGAAAGAGGTCTTCAAGGGTAAGAACTTTACCCCTTTATTCCCCATTTTTGCACAGGATTTTATCCATCCTTGCATATGTTTTTAAGCTTAGTGTATAACTAGTAAAAGTTCTATTTTTACTTGCTTTTGATAGTTGTTTTAGGTCTCTTTGAGGTTTGGGGTTGTTTGACCCCTCTTAGGCCTTGTTTGGCCTCTTTTTTGTGCACTTTTGGTGAGCTCCGGGACCACCTTGTGTTGGCCTCCTTATTTCAGTGGTGGAGATGGTGTTTTGAGGTCCTAAGAAGGAGAGGGCCATCCCCTCTCCTTGTTGTCTTCAATACTTGCCATTTTAGCCTCATGTGTGAGCACCTTTCTTGAGTTCATGTTGGCCATGTCTTAAGTAGTGTTTGTGCTTACTTTGCCATGATATAGCACTGTTTTTAGTTGGTTTAGACACACCATGCATGCCTTGCATGCTTGTCTTGTAATGCCATGAAATTGCCTTAACATGCTTTATGCTTTGAGCATTGTTTTTAGCATGATTTTGGCTTAGCTCTGTGAAGCTTTTATGCATGTTTTTTCAAGTTCCCTTACACACTACTTGCATCATTTCAGTGGTTTGGCACCATTAGTTATGTCATTTCAGTCCATATAGTATGCTTGTATACTTGCATTTGTGACTCCTTTGATGTTTCAAGAGGTTTGTGTTTTATGCTCTATGTTTGGGTCATCATGCATGCCTTTAGACTTAGGCCATTTAGATGCCATCTAGGTGTGTCTTTGACCTTGTTTCAGTCTGCTTTAGGACTGTTTTGAATCATTTTGTCCCTTTGAGGCTTGCCTTGTACGGCCATGGTTTAAGCTCTTTTGATAGCTTTGAGCCTTGAACCTTGCCTACATGCTTTGATTGTTTTGTTTGGTTGGTTTGACACCATCCTTAACATGATTTTCAGAGTTTATCATGCTTGCCATTTGTCCATGTTTGTCCCCTTTTAAGTGTGCTTAAAAGTCCCCTTTCTATGCTTAAGTATTGGACCATGTTTGCATACATGTTTGTATGTACATCTGCTTTCATGTGCTTAGCATATTAGCCACTGTTTTGGGCTTAAAAGTTACTCCTTCATGCTCAAGTTTTGGACCATGTGTGCATGAATGCTTGTGTGTACATTTGCCTTGCATGTTGTCACATACTTGGCCCATAGGCATGTTGTCACGTACTTGGTCTATTGGCACGTTGTTGCATGTTCAAGTGGTGTTGCATTTCGCATGCATCTTGGGTTAAGTTGTTTTACATGTTCCTATGCTAAGTCCCCTTCACATGTTGTTGCATGTTGGTCATTAGCATTATTGTTACATGTCTAGCATGCTTGTTTGCTTAGGTTGTGTGACTAGTGCTCATCACTTGCTTGCATGCTCATATTGCATACTTAGCTTGCATGCTTAGATTGCATTTTGCACGCATGCCTTGCCCCTTGAATTGATTGTGATAGAGGTTGGGCTTATTATTTGTTTTGATTTGCATTTCATTTGACACCAAAATGCACAACTTGATTTCTTGGGCCATCATGCATCGAAATTCGTGATTGGTGGCCCGAGGGTCGACGACCATCCTCCTTTGAGTCATGAACATGATAAGGAGTGTGGTGATGCAAACATTTCCTTTGAAA